AAAAAAAAAATGATAAAAAAATGGTTACAATTTTGTGAGTGTGATGTCAAGTGCTCTAAAGGAGTCGAGCGAAGCTCGAACTCAGGGCGCTGGAGCTCGAGCATGAGACGAGTCCGACTCGGCCCGTTAAGTAAACCGTCAAAAAATCGAGCTCGATCTCGGCTCATTTATCAATATTAGCGAGTCGAGTTCGAAATATGACTAGACGAATTATAGAAAATTATATAAAAATTCTCTTTTCGAGCCTTAACGAGCCTTATCGAACTGTCGATCATGACTCATTAACGAAACGAAACAAGCTTTATGAGAGCTAGAGTTTGACACGTTTATCAAACGAATGGAACAAGTCGAGTCGAGCTCATGAACGACTCGTTTCGTTTAACAACTCTATGTCTGATGTTGACAGGCTGATTTGTGTATTTTTTTTAACTGTTGAGGAGTTAAAGTGGATAAATTTATGTGAGTAGCAAGTGCAAAGATCTTTTTTTAGTTATTTATTTATTTTGGTTTGGGAACTGACAAAGAAAGTTAAAGTATAGTGGAGGGATTTAAAAGAAAAAAACTTTCTTTTAAATTGTTTTAATTTAAATTGATTATTATTATTTTATTTTTTTTGTTGACCATCGCGATTCATGTGTAGGGATGACAATAGGCCATTTTTTGTTGATCATCGCGATGCATGCGTAGGGTTGGCAATGTGCCCGATCGGCCAAGTACCTACGGACTCAGACCTGGCCCGCGTTTTTGCCCAGTAGACCTGACCTGCCCATGACCCGCGACGGGTCCAACAGTTCGGGCACGTGACCTGACTCATTTCAGGGCAGGTCGACCCACCCCAACCTGTCGCCCCAACCTACATAATTCTTTTATCCATTTTATTTACTCCAATCATCACCTTAAACATTACACATTGCACAAGATAATAATAATAATAATAATAATAATAATAATAATAATAATAATAATAATAATAATAATAATAATAATAATAATAATAATAAATAATTATTACAAGCTTAAATAGCGCAATTTTAAAATTCGAAATACAACAATCCAACGAATAACACAATACGTCTTACAATTCAAAAATCAAAATACAAAGATCCAAACATTATATATTATATATAGTTTATATAAAAATGAGAAGATATTTTCTGAGAAAACTCAAAACCTAATTCCCAATTTCACTGGCTACTAAAAATTCCTAATTTCATTTATATATAATTTATACAAAAATAAATAAATAAGATCCGGCCGAGTCGAGGCAGGGAGGGTCGGATCATATTTGGGCGATCGGGACCGGGAAAAAGGACCCAAACTTGGCCCGCTTAGTTAACAGGTCGGGCCAGGCCCGACCCGTTTTAAAAACGGGGCAGTTTTGTGCCAGCCCAAATGCTCCGGGTCGGGCCGGGTCTAGATCGTTTTGGTATCCCTATTCATGTGCTTAGTTTCCGAGGGTATTAATGTAAATTAATGTCCGGTTTGCGTTTTGAAATGTGGCTCACGGAAAAAAAAAAAGTCACTTTCGTACACGCTCGCACGATTGATCTAGAGCGGATACATAGTCGACTTCCCAGGTAATCCAGTTTTTTTCCTGATTATTACATCTTTATCTGCTTGAAATCGTTTTTGATCTTAATTAATTGCTAATCTATTGCATTTTTTCTGCTTATTAGCTTTCGTGTTAATAATTGAATGATGTTGGCATGGACATCGAATTCGATGAGATGATACTATTGTGATCCTCTCTGATCTGTGGCTGATCAGAGTCTGGTGAAATTAATAGGCGAAAAAATGCGAGACTTATGAATTTTTTTATTTTATTCGGTTGTTGTTGGATCACAAGATTCATATGACTGAAATTTATAAGATCAATTGGTTTGATTGTGATGGTTTGATCTGTGTGGTTGGATCATAATTGTTTGAGAATATGTAGGTCGACTGGACTGTTAATGAACTCAATGTTGATTTTATGAATGGGATTTCCTTTGTGGAGACTTGGTCGATGTTGGGATTGCAGATAGTTTTACCCTGTTTTGTTGCTTTAGAGATTTTGATCAATTGGAGACTGTTTCGATTTCAAAAGGAATCGGAAAATATTGGTTATGTGAAATGGGGTTTACGTGCTAGTGGAATGTGCTTGTGAAATATTCATTATTATTCCGATGTTCGTATGAGAAGATTGTAGTAAACTACCAACAGTACTAGAAATTTGTTGTCCGCCCTTAGCGGTATTTTAAACACAGCTTGAGGTATACGGTATCATTTTAGTTGTACTGCATTAATACCGTGAGGTTCCATAAAAGAGGTCCTGCTTGACTAATTGCCCGGCAGATTTAAATGCATATTCTTTGTTGACGTTCGATTACCAAACTATGATTTGGAAACTCATTGTCCTTCTGTAACCATAGAGCTTTGTGGCGTTCTCATTGATGAAAATGCATATTCTTTGTTGACATTCGATTACCAAACTAAGATTGATGAAAATGCATATTCTTTGTTGACATTCGATTACCAAACTAAGATTTGGAACCTCATTGTCCTTCTGTAACCATAGAGCTTTGTGGCATTCTCATTGATGAAATGGTGACTTGTATCTGGTTCAGGTGTTCATTATAGAGCTATTGTGAAAAAAAAAGGATATGTCTGGCACTGAGGAAGTCAAAGAACAAGCAGAAGTTGTAGTGGAGGATGTTGACAAATCTCTGCCGACAAAACAGCAGGAAGTTCTGTTCTGATCAAACTCTTCTATGTAGATTCTCTTTTTAAATATTATATATTATAGATATATATATTTTCTGTTGAATTCATTATGTATTCTTTTGCAGGAGGAAGCTGTCAGAAAGAAGTATGGAGGAATATTGCCCAAGAAACAACCTCTAATTTCGAAGGTATTAAAATCTTCTTCACACGCTTATTGTGTTCCTCAGGATTATTTAAAAAATAATACTGTTTGATTTCAGGATCACGAGCGAGCATATTTTGACTCAGCTGATTGGGCTTTGGGAAAGGTACTTTCTCTTCCCGTTCTTTGTTTTTTGAACCCTCTTTGACTTTCTTGAAAGATTTTTACACTGGCATAACTGTGGTTTGACTGGTTTCTAGTTTTTACATTAATGTTCGATTGTGTTTTATGACTACAGCAAGGTGGTGTGAAGCCCAAAGGACCACTTGAGGCTCTCCGGCCAAAATTGCAGGTAACTTTGCTATCTATTTTTGGGTGTAGTTAATGCAAGTTTCTTCCCTACATTTTTATTGTTTTTTCCTGATATGTGTTACACTTTTCCATCCTAGTTAGTTTCTGCTGCTATTACTTTTGGTTTGAGATGTTATTTCTTTACTGACATTAGAAGGGGATCATATGATGGACCAAATGAAGCCAGGGGTGTTTGGCAAATATCATAAAGCCTTCAAGATACTAAATGCAATTGTAATATGATGTCGAGGAAATGTTGGATAATCAAGGTCCTTATGATGATCTCGTGTTATAGAATTACCCCTACAAAATGTTTTTTCTTTTTCTTCAAAAAAATGCCCTATGAGTGACTAGTACATGGATAATTCTGCATTTCAATTTTTTATTTATTTTTTTCTCTGAAACGTTTCCGTAATAGCTAATAATCTCGTCCAGAAAGATAGTTATTTGTCTTCGGCACATTTCTGTAGGATCATTTTGGAATTTAAGTCTCACCGGAGGTTATGTTGAAATTTGTTGACAATCTAATAAAGTAATAAGTCTATCGAATATTCATACATTCGTATCAATCTCAGCCTCTCTGGTCATTTAATGTCTACAGTTCGGAAGACAAACCGTGAGGTGTCAATGTTTAATGTAGTCTCGATACTAAGTGATGGAATGCAACAGCTTTGTAATGGTTTATCTGATGTTCTTCATGTTTTTAAAAGGAACTGTACTGGAATCCATGCATTTCCATCTTCTCTCTCTCCCTTACCAATTTCTTTTTTTTTCCTATTTGTTTCTGTAGCCAACACAACAGCAAACACGATACCGCAAATCCCAATATGCGCCATCTGGTGAAGGTATGCGTGATTATGAAATTTCTAATGAGATGCGCATTGGAGTTCTCATTTTATTTTTTGTAGAATCTCGTCAGTTGTGTTCTAATTTCATTATTTTTATTCTAGTTTCCACTGGAACATATGATACTTAGGTTTAACTACCAAAAGATACCTTTAAGGTTTGAAAATCATGTGAAGAAACCCCAGCTATCGTTGAATGTTCACAAATACCCCATTGGTGTTTTTTATTTATCTATTTCTCAAATTACGCCCTCAGATAAGTAAATATTTGAAGTGAAAATCTGAGGTGAGTATTTCTAGTTTTGAAAAGATAATTGTGTGGTGTTTTCTACTTTGCTTTACCTTTATTATAATTATTATTATTATTATTATTTGCTTTTTTGTTCTTTACCTTTTTATCTTTTTCCTTCTCATGGTACACTAGGAGATTAGGTCAAACCCCTGTATAGAATTTGTAATGATCCTAACATTTATGCTGTAAAACTTCTTTGAACTCACAGTTCGTGTGATAATTCAAATACCTGTCATGCTCTCTCGGATATGGGTAACTAAATCAGGTTAATATCGATGCAGATGGAACTCCCGCATCAGCCGAAGATGCTACCTCAGACAAATGAGAAGTTGAACTAAGATTAAGTTTTTCATTACAAATAAATTTGAAAAAAAAAAGGAGGACAAATATTGTAATGTCTGCTCAAGGTAAGAATGCATCTACATGTAGTTGCTGCTCTATTTCAATTTCCCAAGCTTGAAAGATCTTCGTGATCGATTCTTGTTGTAGACTATTTTACTACTGCCCAACATGGGTTTATAATTGAGATCTTGAGACTGGTCGACCCATGTCGTTTATACTCTCAACTGTTTGCTGTGTTTCTACTCTTCTGGAACTAAAGAAGCCTGATTGTCTTTGAAAATTACTTTGTTCAACACTTCAACTAGTAACCTGTGTTTGTCTATTATTGCAACACATTGGGATAATTGACAAACCACATAGGCTTTTCAATGATTTCTCACAGATGCAAACACCCTCTAAAAGAGCTATATGAAAGAAGTCATGGAGGATCAATTATCCTTCCTTAGGTAGTTTTCTTTTCACTTGGCTAAATTCAATCTACCAAATAATTAATAGAGCGACTAAAATAGGATACAAGTTGTTTTGAAATGTTTCTTTTCAATGATACATACTAAATTCAATTTACCAAATAAGCACACACATTACTAAATCAGTGTTTATGTGGAATAATACCTAAACTAGTATTCTATTTGTGCCTTTGCACACATATAAATAAAGTATTATAAGTAATTTATATACATATATTAAAATTATAAGGTAGATAATGGTATTATGTTCTAAAATTTGATCATTGTTTAAAATAAATAAGCGTAACTATTTTGATTGCATGAATCGTTATATTGATTGCATAAAATGTAATAAATAATGTAATATTTGTAATTTTGAGAGATCAGTGACCAATTAATTTACTGAAAAATATTAAATTTATTATAACAATTGGTTATGCAATTTTAAATGATTTTACTCTGACATTAAAATAAATTAATTTATTTAAAAACAATCGCTTAATCAGATAAAAATACAATACTAATTTTAGAATAAATAACTTGAACAAAAAGTTTTACAATATGATTTTTTATATTTATGTAATTTTCATATATCATTTATATCAAATCAATACTAAAGAAATGGACATTTTTTTAGATTGTAAATGAGATGTAAGATAAATGCAATACTCAAAGTTGATGTGATTCTATGGTTTCGTTAAAAAAAAAAAAAGAAAAAAAAGTTGATGTGATAAAAATAGTAATAAATAAATAAAAGTCATAATGAAAAATATCTAGTAAAGGAATAATAATTTTGTAAAACATATTTAATGTTAATTTATTTTTACTATTTAATCAGTTTGATAAGATTCAACAGATAAACACATGAACAAATGAATAAATTTCCAAAGAAATGATGGATGAAAACAAACGGTTTTGTTATGGAGTTATCGGATAACTCGGCTAATGAAGTCACCCATTATTATTAACAAATGGTGTATTGACACGTGCACTGTAATAAATACACATTGGACATGTACACAAAGTAATGGAGTGGAAATATCCGGTGAAAGGAATAAGAAATAATTTTAATTTTTTTAATTTTTTTATATATATTTTCTGTCAAATGATTAAAAATAATAAATAGACAGGATTTATTTATTTAATTTTATTAAAGTTCAATTTCAAATCCAACAAATGATGGAAAGAGGCAGGGCAGCAAGAATAATGAGTGTGATATCATAAATCCCAAGTTCACTACTCAAAACACACCCAAAATCACAGTGTAATAACCGGAAAAACACACACAAGTAGCCAGGGCACAGTGATGCACGCACTGAAGTAGGGCACCATTTGTTGCGACTGCCTTTGCAAAAACCACCGGAGAGAGCTCGCCGAATATTGATCCCGACCCCACAATGCTTCCCCATACACCTTCGATTGCGTGCTAGTGCGTGAAATTTTACAGTAGAGAGAGGAGGATACATCCGGCGGCAATGTCTCGCCGTGGCAGCGCTGCTCCTCAAACCCATCCACTTCCCGTGGTTGTAGCGCTCAATTGCATCGAGGACATGGCGCTCGAGCAGAATTGCCTCTCCGGCGTGGCGCAGGTGGAGCACGTGCCACTGAGCCGGCTGACCGAGTCGCGGATCGACTCGGCCGCCGCGGTCCTCATCCACTCGCTCTCCTTCCTCCCGCGCGCCGCCCAGCGTCGGCTCCGACCCTGGCAGCTGATCTTGTGCCTTGGATCCTCCGATCGGGCCATGGATTCGGCCCTCGCAGCCGACCTCGGGCTGAGCCGGATGGTCCACATCGACGTGAGTAGGGCCGAGGAGGTGGCGGATACAGTGATGGCGCTCGTTCTGGGGCTGCTCAGGCGCACGCACTTGCTCTCTACGCACGCACTCTCGGCTTCGGGGTGGCTCGGCTCCGTGCAACCGCTCTGCCGCGGAATGCGGCGGTGCCGGGGTTTGGTGCTGGGAATTGTTGGTAGATCTGCATCTGCAACGTCGTTGGCTAGCAGGAGCTTGGCATTTAAGATGAGCGTGCTGTATTTTGTGCAGGAGGTACGGCCACATTAGTGAAATCTTAAATAAAAAATTGTTTTATTTTCCAGGCGCAGTTTATGAAAGTGTCTTTCATTATTTCCTTTTCCGTTTCTTGCTAACGTCTCATCTTTTTTAGCTGTATATATTTGTTTTAACACAAATGCTACTGTTGAGCAGCCATACCCTTTGACAGAAATATATAGTTATACTATGAAATGTCATACTTTTGTTTATATTGTATTATATAGCATGACATTTGAGTATTTTTTTTTTCTTAATTGGTGGAAATGTGAAATAGGAAGATAGTTTATGTCTGGCGTTCATGCCGAATTTTGATCTGTTTTTACTGTAATGTCCCATATATATGGCTTGTTGTTTTGAAAATGTTAATTTGTGTTCTATAGGATGACGTTAAGTGTGCGCTTCTTGTGTAATCAACTTTTTAATTGTTTTATCACAATTTTTGAAAAGAAGTATGCCAATGGATGCTACTTGTTTTTCATGTTGGCATATTATTTATTATAGTACTGGATGTTGTGTGTAATAGCTTGTCTGATTCGTATAAAATTCATGCTACGTGTTTTTCATGTTGAAAATTATTTATTATATTATTGGACGTTATGTATAATTGCATATCTGAATCGTGGAAATTGTTTTGCTTGCTATTGTATGTAAAACTTTAATCATGGCTTTGGTTGTGTTGGACCATGAAATTAGAGGTCTTTGTTTCTTCTTCCTTCTTCTTTTTCTTCCTCTTTCTTTGGTTGTGATGAGTTCTTGTGGATATTTTTTGTTAGATCACTGCTAGATCATGCCTGGTTATATTTTGTGGTGCATTAAGTTTGGATTACAACTAGCATCAACATTTTTGGTGGCTCATTGATTTTTTGTGAGAAAAGGAAGAACCATTTTCAAATGTTTAGTTTGGATTAGATTCCCTGTTGGTGATATTAGTAATATTCAACAAGATGTACTTTATGTGTATGTTGCTTTACTTCTTTTTATCTTCTTAAACAAAATTTTGTTCCCTTTATTGTACGTAGGGAAATGGTAATATAAGTAGATCTTCCTTGAGATTCCCAGCTGCAGCCAGAAGAATGGATACACTCAACGATTTGCTTGCTGCAAGTGATCTCATATCACTGCACTGTGCCCTGACAAATGATACAATGCATATCATCAATGCAGATTGTTTGCAGCATATAAAGTCTGGTGAGTGTTTAGAAGTTGTTCACGATGATTTCTCGATGCTTTATGTTTACTATATTTCTCATGAAGCATACTTCTCTGAAGGGGCATTTCTTGTAAATACTGGGAGCAGCCAGCTACTGGAGGATTGTGCTGTGAAGCAACTTTTGATTGACGGAACGCTCGCTGGCTGTGCTCTGGATGGTGCTGAAGGACCACAATGGATGGAAGCATGGGTATGGTGATTATAACCTTAGGGTATGAGTGCATGCATTAGAATCTGTTTCAGAATTTAGCCATTGCTTGTGACGATGCTGTGTCATAAAATGGCATGGTTTTTGTGCTTTATTGCCTTATTTTAGGATGTAATTTTCCCTCGTGTGAAGGTTTCTACTTCATTATTTGTTTGTGTTTTACCCTCTTTGGTGGGGGGACTCTAATTTGGGATTGAGTGAGGCAATACCCTTTCACTTTTCCGGTATGCTTTAAGAGGCTTCTGGGCACATAAAGGCGTTCTCTACCTTATTTAAAATTAACAACGAAATTCCTTGATTCACTCTAGGGCCCTAGTCATTTATGTTGTACCATTGCCATAGAACTATATGTAAATTAATTTCAACACGTAACTGATATCTTGCCCAGGATGCTCCATTCTAATTTTGCATACTGATGTTATTGTGGACTTAAATGTATATAGTTCTATCTGCTTCAAGCAAGTAATACCTCTCCTCCGTTTAAAAAACCTATCTCTTTATCAACATTTAGGGCTAAATTAGATAGGTTTATATGAAATAAATGAATCAAATTTGTAGTCTGTAGGATGGCTGATCAGAAGTGTATGTTGTACCATATGCTCATGGATCTAGAGTGAGATATTGTTATATTGATAGCAAATTGGTGGGAGTAAGCAGTGCATCCATGCATGGATCATTTATTCGCCTTGGTGGAGACTTTTATATGTTCACTGTTGATTAGCTCGTTTTAACTATTATTGTGTTTGCTTGGAACTTATATATCTGTTTTTTCCAAAAGGATTTTGGGAATAACCTCTGAACTGTGAAAAACTAAAAGCAGCATAGAATCATGCTTAAATCATTCTCCTGGTATTGCATACTTCTTATTGTGCGTGTATTCATGTTAGTTAAAAATTGTGGGAATACTTAAGTTGACATTACAAGAGTAGTATTTCCCCGAGTTTACTGCAATTGCCTAGCATATATAAGTACCACTGAACAGAAGGAATTTGTAGATTCTAGGACTTGTCGCTTTCTTCTTTCTGCTTCAACTAAAAAACTGTAAAATTTCGATTTGGTCTCAGCTTCGAGAGATGCCCAATGTCCTGATACTTCCCCGTAGTGCGGACTACAGTGAAGAAGTATGGACTGAGATAAGGGAGAAGGCGATTTCCATACTTCAGCAGTTTTTCATCCATAATATCATCCCCAAAGATGCTGTGTCAGACGAGGAAGACGAGGTGGAACAAGAGGGCAGGTACGAGAATAGTAGCCCTGCACTGGCCTGCGAAACTTCATTAAAAGACTCAGTTGATGATAGACTGACTGAAGAAATCCAGCTAGTGGCCCAAAGTTCTCAGGAGAGGCTCTCAAACCAAACAACGGGAAATTTGTCCCATAATCAAGACTCTGTTATGTCCCAAGGCACATCAAACAGATCTGAAACAAAGCGTAGCAGGTTGAGTAAGAAGGCAAAAAAGAGGCTCGGCCGCCAAAAATCTCACAGTAAAGCGGACACTTTTGGAAAAGAGAGCACTTCTTACAGAGAGGAAGATGGGTGTCCGAGTGGCTCTGATCAAGTGTTGAGTTCAAGTTCGCATTTTGCTTCTCCCGATAATTTAAGGACCAGGAGAACGCCTGTTGAGCCAAGCACAGGGAATATGAAGAAATCTGGTGAGGTGTTGAAGGATGGTCATATTGTGGTTTTTCACGCAAGAGACGGACCTGACTTTCAGCTTCATGTATCAAAGCAGAGATTTAAGGGAGGTGGTTGTTTCCTTGACAGAGTGTCAAATGTTTCAAAAAGAGATCCAGCTGCTCAATTTCTGGTTGTCTTCAGAAGTGAGGTGTGCAAAAATTTGATGTAGATGTTTTTGCTGTTTTTGTCATTTGTGTGTTACACAGCTCTTATTGGCTTGTGATGCTAATGTAACAAAATAACAATTATTTGGTCAGAAATGAAATTAAGATAGCTGTCAATTTCTTGTTGCTGTATCTTGCAGGGTAGGGTTGGCTTTAGATCGTTTACAGCTGGAGGAAAATTGTTACAGGTACTTCTTGCAATAGGGTTGTGATATGTCTCTAAATCTAATAGTTAATTATTGGCTTGTAGTCTTGTACATTGTTGATAATGGGTCTGGATGATTTTGGATGGAAGAATATTTTGTGTAAGTCATCCAGTTAAATTGAAGTTTGACTGACAGGGAACTGTTAGTTGTTTATTGTGGATTGTTCTCCAAGATTAGTGACAATTATATATTGTTCGAGTATTGGTTTTGTGTTCTCTTTGTGAAAGACGCCCACAATTTCTTATATGCTGTAATTTGATTTATCTATCACAACTCAGGACTCAGGGGAGATATTTCTTTGCATGTGTATGTGTGTGTTTTCGTATAGGTTACAGCTTTTGTTTCTTGATATACTTAATGTTTAAATGTTTTGCTCTATTAGTAATTTCTTATGTCTAAACATTTGCCTCTGACTTTTTAGATAAATAAGAGGATGGAGTTCGTATTTGCTAGTCATAGTTTTGATGTCTGGGAGAGTTGGACAATTGAAGGTTCTATTGACGAGTGCAGGCTGGTGAATTGCAGAAATCCTCTTGTAAGTTCAATTCCTTTCCTGTGCTGTATGTTTTAATTAATCAATTCTTGGCAAATAGAGGCTATATCCCTGAATTAGTGATGGTGCTATAATGGCAAAGATAAAGAAACATGGTACGTTGCTATAGTGAGCTTATGATGATGTCTGCAAGCATTTTTGTGATTTATATATATTTTAACCTTGGAATTTTGCAAAATGCAAATATTGGAATCCAACGGCGTTGAGCAGTTGACCTCAACATATGTAGTTTTCATATCTACATCTATTCTTCAGTATTACATATGGCTCCCCAAGTTTTTGTTTCAGTGGTGTTTGTAATGCCTCAAGGGTTATAGTTTTCAGTCTCCTCTGTCATTGTGCAGGCAGCATTGGATGTACGCATTGAAGTTGTTGCTGCTGTTGATGAAGATGGTGTTACCCGTTGGCTCGATTAGTCGGTTAGTGCTAGGATTGTATGAGGTTTGTGATATCTTCACATTTTTTAGGTAATTGCAAAATGCAAATTCAGGTTATTGTGATTGCATATTTGATTTTTTTAGAAACTCCCCACTAAGCATCCCTCTGAATCTTAGAACATTGGCATGTTGAATTTCGAGCCATGCGTCGTTGCAAAAGGTGTCGTTTTCTTTCATTTTCGTACGCTTATCCGATCATATGGGTTGCATGTTGTTTTCTTTTCTTTCCAATAAATGAATTGTAGGTTTATCTTAATTTGATAAAATTCATCACTATAAGTTACAGTGTAACTCAAAAAAGAAGCACCAGCATCAAAGATCAACCATCATGTATTTTATAATTCAATGAGTAATGCTATAGGTACATAATATTGTACTTAGGGTGTACATAACACTCACATTGAGTGTGACCCACCCAATAAAAAAATCAAGTGGACTCCACTCCATGTGAATCTTATGTACATCTCTATGTACATTTATTATGTACTTATAGTATTTTTCTAATTCAGTACCGCTGCCGCCCCCATAAATTTACTCCATGATGTGGTGTCATTGACGTGTCAGTAGCTTTTCCCGATTATTCGGCCAACAAAGAAACAGAATTTTATCACGTTTTTTCCCCAAAATTTCTTGCCCTAGGATGTATGTCTTCTCTTATTTTTGTCATATTTCGAATATTTTTTCGTCTGCCAAATTCCTTCTTCTTTGTTTATAATCCCCGTTATTTCCTGGATTTTTTTGTTGACTACACTTCCTTAATTTTTTTTGCCAAATTGACCATGAACGGGGCTCAATTCTCCACCAGAAGCTCGAGGGGCCGGAGGAAGAATATCAACCATGAACAGGGTGCAATAAACATTTTGCTTTTACTTTTAAGGAAATAAACCCTTCGAATAAATATAAAAAAAGAAAAATAATTTAACCAAACTATCCTTCCTATATTTTTTTTTCTTCGGTACAAAGAAGGAGGCCAAAGGCCTGAGTTATACTAGAATTCGACGGGGGTACGAGACCCCAATAATGTCATGGTCAAGCCATGTGCTAAGACCTAGAGGCGGGGAAGACAACCTCTGCAATCCAACCGGGCAAGAAGCCGCCAAGCTCGCTAAATGATCCGCTGCAAAGTTTGTCTCCCTATGAACATGCACGACCTTAACGTTCCACTCACGCTGTAGTAAACTACGCACGGCCTTCACCAAGGTGGCATTCTCGCCACACACATCCTCTGAAGAGATCACCATCCGCGACACGCACTGACTATCGACCTCGACTATGACTTGACGATAGCCCTTTTCCCACGCTAGTTGAAGCCCCTGAAAGAGACCCCATAGTTCAGCATTCGTGATGAAGCATGTCCCAATATTCATAAGAAAACCCTCAAGCCATACACCCAAGTCATTACGAATCAAGCCACCTGCACTACTCAAGCCCGTGAGTATCGCATGCGCCATCAGTGTTCACTTTAATCCATCCCGGGTCTGGAGGGGCCCAATGGATCATACGCGTGACATAAAGCGCGGCCCCTACCTTCACATACGCTGCTTCAGCCCGGGCATAATTATCAACTAATTTCACGACGTCCATCCGTCTGGCCTCACCGCTAAGTGTACGATGGTTAAAAATTCTCTCATTACGCCATTTCCAAGCACGCCACACCATAATAAAAAATATACTATTCCAGTTACGAGTCTCACCTATCCGTCGAGTGGCGAGGTTCGAACGCAGCCATGGCAGGAGGGGCTGCTGGAAGAAATCAATCGTACCATCTATTGGGAGTAGCCGATGCCACACTGGCTTGATGTAAGGGCAGTCTCGCAGGACGTGAAGAATCGATTTGCTCACCCCACAAAATTCGCAGCTATCCTCAAACGCAAGGTGCCGGCGAACACGCTCCATATTAGTAAGTAAGCGACCACTAGCCACAAGCCACAGTAATTGGCGGGCCCGCTGCGGAGCTGGAGTTTTCCAAATTAACTGCCACAGCAGTTGGTCGGACCTCACCGCCGGAGGAGCTAACGAGTTATATGCAGTAATCGTAGAAAAGTTGCCGTCCTCCGAGAAGCCCCACACGATGCGATCTTCCCCATTCTCCACGCGCGGGGGAAGCGTGTCGACCAGTCGGAGAATCACTGTGGCGGGTAGAGTGCCATGGAGGCCGTCCCAGTTCCACCTGCCATATTCATCCACGAGGTCGGCCACCGTCGCCGAGATATTCACACTCGGCGAGTTGAGAAGAAGGTGCGCGATTAACGGCCCCGTATTGCGAAGCCATGGGTCAGTCCAGAACTTAGTCGTCAACCCATCCCCGACACGCGAGCGAACCCCACGTATCACATCAGGCCACACTTTGCAAATTGAACGGAATAAGGTCGAGCCTGTTCGCCATTGCATATCCGCCAGTCCATTCGAAAAATCCACTCGGTACTTCGCCTTGAGAACTCTGGCCCACAAAGCGTTCGGTTTAGTCAGCAGTCCCCACCCGAGCTTCATTATCAGAGCACTGTTCATGCGCCGAAGATCTTTCATCCCCAGCCCGCCTTCAGCTTTGGGTTTGCATAGTTTTTCAAACTTATTTGTCAAACTTTTTGTGCATTGTAATCTTATGTGTTGAGTTTTGATACTTTGTAATCCTATATCTCAATTTCGTAACTTAAAGCATAGTTTCCTGAATTTATATGTCTAACTTCTGGTGTTTTTAATTTTATGTGTCAAATTCTGATACTTCATAATCCTAATTCTACGTGTCAAATTCATAATCTTATGTAGAATTTTGTTGCTTCTTAATCCTATATTTTTATTAGTCTATGTAGATTTAACTAAAATTATAAATATATTTTAAAAGTTGATAACTTTTGTACTTGTTAATAGTTTTTCATATATAATATATCAAAAGTTTCGGTTTCACATCTATATTGTATGCAAAATAGCTAAATATATGTATCTTCGTAGTAAAATTTAAATTATCTATTAATATTAATAGAAAAATTGAAATTATTTATCAGTTATAAATTCATAAATAAAATAATTATATATAAGACGAGTAAGTCGTACAAGTTACTACGAATCTAATTTTAAATAAAAATATTAATATAATTTCTGAAAGATGTACTTGAAGTTTAAAACAAATACGTCTTTTGTCATTTTTCAAAAATCTAAGTAAAAATTCTTAACTAGTATTATGCCGTACAAGGATTTTGTACTTGTACTAACTTATTGGGCATTATATGAAGCCACTGGTTATCTACCGGTTGTGCACGCACAACCAGGCGACATCCAACGTTCAATGGATGATAAGATTAACGAATATTTAAATTATCATGTTTGAAATATTTTAGAATGTTGTCGACGAAATTTGTACAGTTTTCTTTATTAACTTTGCTACGTTTTGTAGTTTGTTTATTATTTTGTGACAGTGGTATGTGCAGTTGGTTGATCGTTATGAAATGGTGGAAAACTTCTGGTGCAGAATAATAGTTGTTGTTATTATTATTATTATTATTATTATTTTTATTATTATATTATCTTATTGAGTTGATTGAGAAATAAACAATCTGTTCTTGTGTGGTTTATCGAGAGATAGTATCTCTTTTATCTTTTCCATTCGTACGCTTTCCCTACATCAGTTGGTATCAGCAGTCAGTACGATTCGCGATGTCGCCGGGACGAGAAGATGTTGCAACCAACAACGTGATACCACCTTCAACGATCGGTTTCAACAGATTGACTACCGATTTCAAGAGTTGGACGTGCGTTTCACGAATTTGTTTGCCGATCTTTCGACGGGGATTGAGGATTTGTGTTTGATGCTGAACAACGTGGTTGTTACAGAATGGCAGACGGACCGTGATGGAGGCCGTGACTATCGCGGGGGATACAGAGGCGGTCGTGGGGGAAGCAACCATGTCGGGGCGCCCCGACAGCGATCCCATCCACCTCTTAACGACAACGGCGTTGACGACCCTACCGGGTCGGCTAACCTGTTTACAGAGCGACCACCATGGCAAGTAGCCGACACCCTCGGTCAGTCCTGAATTCGCGAGCGGCTGCGGGCTGGAGATTGTTTCGGACATGGTGGCGAGCGCGACGACAAGGAAACCCTATGAGCAGTCCGATTTTCACAGCCGACAGCGGCCTGAGGAGGGTTTTGACTACAAATTTTCACACAATCGCTCAACCTAGACGACAATTTCTGGCTAAATTCTTGAGGCTTCAAGGGGTCCAATCGGCCGCGCCGCCACTGGGATGACGGGTGCGAGGCTGCCGACGACGGCGGCGCATACCGATAGTGAATGGAGGCGCCTGTTTTGGACGAGTTTCACTTACCCGTGAGAATATTCCGGCATGCTGAGGCGGGCTGGGGCCGAGATAGATGCCGCGTCGCTGAGGACGCCGGCTACTACCATGGTCGCGCTGCCTGGTCGGACCTCCAAACCCTAGGTAGATTCAGGCCACGAGAACTTCATCGGCTAGAAGGAGGTCTTGCAGCGTCCTGGGCGTTTGACGGGCGACGCACCGCTGCGGGATGGCCTGATGTCCTTGGGCGCGACCAGCGAGGGACCGACGCCGGAGTTGCAGAGGTGCAGCGGAATTGGAGAGTTGGAGGGTATCGTGTTTTGGGCGATGTGAAGAGACACCTCGATGTGCAGCGACAATTCGATGGGCAGAGACGCAAACAAGAGCTCGAGATTTTTCTTTCCAATTTTGGGCCTGCGCAAGGGCGGCCCATTTCTATTTATTGTGACCAAGGAATGAATGGAAATTTTCCTTCTTTTTGGGCCTGTGAAGTAGCTACGAATTTTGGGCTTGTGTAGAGGGATTTTGGCCGCGAATTTGGTCAATGGGTGAGCCCGTTTCGCGCTGATATTCTTGACTTCGACGAGAATCACGTTAACGGGCCAATTTACGATGGTACGCCCATTTTCTGAGGAGTCACCGATGACGACAACATATTTTTGCAGTAATATGGGTCCCGTATGGGA